GTGTGTGTGTGTGGTGTGTGTGTGTGGTGTGTGGTGTGTGTGTGTGTGTGGTGTGGTGTGTGTGGTGTGTGTGTGTGTGTGGTGTGGTGTGTGTGGTGTGTGTGTGTGTGTGTGTGTGTGTGAACATGCTCCTATGACAGGAGTCCTCCTCTGTCCTTCACCGTGTGGATTCTAGTAATCAAATTCAAGCCCTCAGACTTGGAGCCACTGTCTTTCCCTGCTGAGCCGTCTCACATGCCCCAAGTGTGTTACTTTTTAAATATTTTGAAGCTCTACTTCTATTTCTGGTTTCATTCCCTATGCATCACTCTACCTCTGACACCCATTCTAGAATGTTCTTTAGCACAGCATCCAGTTTATTGTTCACTTTGTTGCAATGGAAAACATGGGAAAGCCTTTATCGTCCTATCTTTGGCCATAAACATTACAACAGACATTATCCATAATCTCAAATGAGCCTTTAAGTATGCTTTTTACCCTCCATCAATTTCCCTTGGGCAGAGACTTTACTTAATCTTTGAATTTTACATGACTGAACCTCATTCTGTTTTCTCCTTTGTCTTTTAAACAGTTTGAGGTTTGTGAGTTTTTTTATTTAAACTTAGTTTTAGGGATTTTTATCATATAAAATTTTGTCTCAGGGGAAATATATTAAGAATTATCTGCTAGTAAGTTTTGTTGTTTTCTTGGGAAACTTTCATCTTTTAGAAAATTGGAATTGAGCCTGCCTTTAAACACTTCCCTTCACTGATCTTCTGTCTGAATTTTTTAGGACTAAAGTTCTAAATGTGTATTATTATTGTAGGTACGTATATTTGTATACGCTCAAATCTATCATTTTAAACATTTTTGTGTGTGTGAAGATGTGCGTATATATGTATGTGGGTGCACTAACCTGTGTGCAGGCATGTTGACATGTTGGCAGCTGGAAGCTGACATCAGTATGCCTTTCTCAATCATTGCTCCACATTATTTTTTGAGCAGAGGCTCTCACTGAACTTGTATCTTGTTTTGACTGGGCTAGTTGATCCCCTGGGACCCATCTGTGTCTACTACCAGTGCTGGGATTACAAACATATGCCCAGATTTTACATGGATGCTGGGAATCTGAACTCAGGTCCTCGTGTTTGTGCCACAGGCTCTGTATCCATGGAGTCAACGCCCCAATCCATTTTAACCACGTTTAAGTGGCAATCATACTCACATTGTTGTGCAATCATTACTACCCTTCAACTCCAGAACTTCCCATTACCCCAAGCTAAAGCTCTGCATCCATGCAAAAATAGCTCCCTGTTCCTTCCTCCCTCACTAACCACTGTTCTAGTATACATCTCTATGAATTTGGCCGTTAAGGGTACCTCATTTGCATCCTCACCTAAATCTCCCCAATCACCTTGCCTTCACCACGTTCATAACTGGACACCCTCCCACACCCACACTGCTCTCCCCTGCATGTCTTGTCTCAAAGAATGATACCTGCATCCAGCTTAATATCAGCCGGAAATATGCCTAGTTCAAATCCTTTCCATATACTGAATTTGCCCTCCACCTTCCTCCAGGCTGACATGACTCCTATCAGAATATAATCTATCTCCTCATCCTCCTCATCTCCCTCCTCCAGCCCCTTCCCTGCAGGGAATACCATCTTTCTAACATACAAATCTGACCCTGTTTCTGGCTTTAAACTTCCATGAGCTCTCCACTGCTTTTTGGGTTTGTTTTCATTTGTTTTTGTTTTTGTTTTGTTTTGTTTTGTTTTGTTTTTGAGACGGTCTCCCTGCAGTCTCAGCTGTCCTGGAACTCCCTGTGTAGACCAGGCTGGCCTCAATCTCAGAAAACTGCCTGCCTCTGTCTCCTAAGTACTAGCCCCACTGCTTTTTGACTAGAAACAAAATCCTTCTGAGGGTTTATGAGGCCCTCCATGTCTGTCATCCCCCCCTCCCCGCCCCACCATTTATGACTTCAGCTACCCTACTGGTTGTTGATGCTTTCAAACACACATGTCTGAAATTTCAGCTAGACTGCTGGTTCATCCCGGGATAGGTGTTTTTCTCCCTGGCGTACTAACCCTTCATCCTCTTCAGCCACTTCACATCTTTCTTCTCATCCTTCAGGTCTTGTTAATAATTGAGATCTATTATTAACTGAGGCTGACTGATATATCGACTACTAACACATACTAAACAATTGTCATGGTCAGGTACTGCTTTGAGCTCTTGCATGTATTGAATTTGCCTGATCCTGATTACAGCCTTATAGAGAAACAACTCATATATTCTTGATTCCATAGACAAGAAGCCATCATGCAGCATGCCCAGTTACATGGCCATTGCACAACAGAAACCAGACTCAAATCACACCTGTTTTGAACCACTGATAAGCACTATCCCCATCAGCTGAGATGCCACCTCCTCCAGGATGTCCTCTCTGATTGTTCAACTCTGCATGCATACCTTCCTTTAATCCTATTTACTTCTCTAATCATAAATCTACCAAACTGTGCTATAATTGTGTTTCCATTGCTTGTTAGCCTTACTTATATAATCACCACTTAGAATTGTCAGAATCATTAGAAATTCAATGAGGATAAGGGATCTTATTTATCAGGACCTGGCAAATAGCAGGCCCAAGGTAAATATTTTTAATGAATGAATAAAAGAATGAATAACACTAAGAGCTATAAATGGATTAGAACAAAAATGTCCTTGGAACCACTAAAAAAATAATATAGAAATGCCTAAAAAAATAATTGTTGTTTCTTTCATCATAGAGTGAGGAAATACAGGTTAAATAAAGAAAGTGGGTGGCGGGGATGTGGGAGGGAGGAAACTTTTCAATTGATGTCAAAGAACTGTTTGTAGAAAGCTGGGAAAGCATCCCTGTGATCTTCAACCTTTAAGAAAGATCCAAAGGTTTACTATGGAAATTAAATATTTAAGTTATAGTCAAAGATACATTTGAAAGTTTTTGTTTTATTGTCTTGATTAATAATCTCAATATGAAACATCTCAAATGATTTGTGTTCTAAAGAAGATGAATACATGTTTAACTACCTTTGAGTAAAAAGATTATCAACTTTTGGAAAACGTATTTTTAGGTCCGTTATGACTAACAGGGACGCATTGCTGCTTTGTGTACAACTCTGCTCCAGGCACTGAGACTAGAACAGCCACAAGACCCCCCCTGCCCTGCTCAAGCTGCCACAGCGTTCCTTTTGCGATGTTTGTTTTCTTTGTTTAGGTTCAGGTTAGGGTGGAGGGTGTTACTAAAGCAGAAAGGGATGGGGAGACATGTCTGAAACCTTTTCTTGGAAAACTCAGTATTTCCTTCTATAAAGTCCAGGTGGCCACGACAGACAGATAAATGATCATCACATTGAGAACCCTCATTACTGACTTCTCAGAAATTCCCTGAAGCATCCTCCGTGGGGAAAGCTATCCATCACATTGCACGCTTATCTTTGGTGATGAGCGGGAAAGGCTACAAATTGATGGCATGTAATGGGCTAGAGTGAAATAATGGACTAATCTAAGAAGTTGTCACCAAATACAGAGCAAGAGTGCAGGGCCATCAGGTTTCGAAGCTCGGAAAGAGAATTGGAGTGTGAAGCAAAGCTTGGAGTTCCAGACAATGGGCATTTGCGCGAGGACATGGGGGCCCTGGGAGTAGCAGAGGCAAAGAAGAAAAAGCATGGTCCTCAGCCCCACCTTGAGACCTCATCTAGCAGGCAGTTTCAGCTGCCTCCCCAAACTTGAGTTTTTACTAATTCTAATCCAGATAGGACACATAGAGAAGGAAGAAGATTGGAGGAACTGGTAAACATAAACCTTAAGTATTAATCAGAGGGCGTGGGGGTATGCAGTAGAGGACAGGAATACTGAGACTCAAGTATAAACAACATATAGGTACGAAAATACCATGATGAGGACTGGAGAGAGGGCGCAGCAGTTAAGGGTACTTGCTGCTCTTGCGAGGATCAGAGTTCAGTTCCCAGTGCCCATGTCAGGGAGCGCACAACCATCTGTAACTCCAGCTCCAGTGTATCCAACACCTTCTTCTGGCCTCTGCAGGCACCCAAACACGTGTGCATGTGCTTGTGCGTGCTCACGTGCATGCATGCAAGCGCGCGCGCGCGCACACACACACACACACACACACATCAGTTTTTCAAAAAGAAAGAAAATACCATCACGAAACCCGTGCCTTTGTTAAATAACCTAAAAGGTTCATTTTAACATCACATCTTAAGTATTTGGAAGACCGACCAAATTTGATGGCTTATTCTAAATATAGTTCTATGGTGGGTAGAAATTTGTGTTCAAAGCAACTCTCCTGCAAATGACCGTGGAGACATGGTAATTGCAGACATCCCTGTCATTTTGCTTTTGTGATATTAACATAAGAAGTAGCTCTGATAATTCATGTTCAGTCATTATGATCTTTGTGGCCTGAGTTCAACATTATGCTGAGTGAAAATAATGTGCAAAAATTTCACATAAATACAGTCTGAGCATGGTATTCTTCAATGAAACATGTTCTTCCTAAAATTTCTCTTGGACTTTTTTTCTTTCATTTTCACTCCTTGGTCAATGGTCACAGATTAACTTTTTTTGTGCATTATGACCCACACAGGTGTTTGGAATCAAGGGGGGCCTGAGCCCCCCTCCCCAACGTTGCTTCGCAGCAGGCAAAAAAAAAGACACATTCTGTGCCCCCCTCAATTTCTGTGATGGTGTTCTTTCCTGACTCTAGGAACTGCGACCACTGAGCTGTGAGTACAAGATGGAAAATGTGACCAGGATGGTGGTGTGTGACCTTGGGAACCCCATGGTGGCTGGAACAAATGTAAGAGAAGGCCAGTGGCACTCACTGATTTCTATCTAATTGAATTTTACAGAGGACGCATGGAAAACTCCCCTTTTAGCACTCAGCAACTCAGCAAACAGCAACTAAAACAAATTGGGCAGGAAATTGCCAGCAAGGAGGGATTTAGCATCTTAACCTATGCGAGGAGGTGATACTCACAGCTCAAACACACAGAAAGATGTGTGCTTTTATATGCACTCCCTGTAGACATCACACACGTAGATCTTGTTCACAGCTGGTCAGTGGAGACTTTTTTTAACCTCGGATTTTTTTCCTTTGTTTTCTTTGAATTCTACAACAGATTTTGTTCTTTGACTTCAAACAGATATGCAACATTAATTCTCAAAAAAAAAAACCCTATAAAATAACCTAATTGAAGGGCTGAGGATGTAACTGTGTAGAATACAAAGCCCTGGATTGGATCTTCTGCACTACATAAACCAACTAGGAGTGGTGGTGCAGGCCTGTAATCTCAGGATCAGGAGTTCCAGATTATCCTCAGGCTACATAATGAGTTTGAGGTTAGCCTGGGCTACATGAGACTGTTTTTTGTTTTTGTTTTATTTTTTAAAAAAGCTAATTAAGACAGAATTTGTCAAAGAAAATTTATTTCCAGCATGACTCCCTCCACTGAGTATTATTTTCACAGTATGTTCATGTTAAAATATTGCCTTACTCAAGGTTTTTGATCTTCTTTACTAGGTCTGTATTTGAAAAATTAATAGAGTATAGGAATGGAAAAATAAGATGAACAATGATCTTATAAAAAAAACCATTGTTTTTAATCCCCTTCCATCACCTCTTCAGAACTTTACATGGAGGAGAACTTGTACACAGAAGTTATTTTATCCAATTACAGTTTAAGTGTAGTATAGCTACTCCTAGAATAAACATAATAGTAGCAATTGTCAAGTGATAAGTCATGAAAAAAATTCTAAAACCTGAAAATGTTACATAATTAAATCACAATAAATGAAGCCGACATAGTCTTCAATTTAAAATGAGGTGTTTATGTTCATCAGAGCAATGGTCTGTTTAAAAAATTGTGAAAAGTTATGATTGCCTATGTTTTCAGGAGAGCACCTCCCTTTTAAGGGGAGCTTTGGGGTCACTGTTGTTTACCCCATGCTTCCCTGAGGGCTTCAGGTGCTTGTATTTTGTAGATGCCAAAAAGTCTTCCAGTAAGTAAATCTCTCCATAGTTTCCCTACATACCCGAACATCCGAAACTCTTCCTCAGATAATGCGTACTCCCAATTTATACTTCAAGATATGGTGCTAGAATAATAGTTTTAATTGCATTGATCTGGGGATTTAAAAACTGTGCCAAATAGTAATCTAGTAAACTTACTTCTTGTGTCCAAAAAAAAAAAACCATTTTCATGAAAGTTAAGTTCCTATTACAGATCATTATTAATGGATTGGCTATCTTCCATGTTATAAGTCCAACACTAGGAAATATATAGAGAGAGCACTTTTTAAAAATCTCATCTTAGGGGCTGGAGAGATGGCTCAGTGGTTAAGAACACTGGTTGTTCTTGCAGAAGACCCAGGTTTGAATCCCAGCACCCACATGGCAGCTAACAACTGTCCAAAACTCCAGTCCCAGGGGATCTGACAGCCTCTTCTGTCCTCCGTGGGCATTGCACGACACGAGTGCACTTACCTACATGAAGGCAATACATGCATACACATAAAATAAAAATAATAAATAAAAAATATTTTTTAAAAAAATCTCATCTTATTGCATATCACCTATTTTTCTGAACAAGGAGATTCTAGCCTGGAGCAGTCAAACGTATTATCTGAAGTCACACTAATGAAAAGACAAAACCAGGGTTCCAACCAGGCCTGACCACAAAACCCATGCCCTGTTGGGTCTGCAGCACTGTGGAAAGTGCTGGGAAGAAAACTAATGAACAACAGATGAGATGTTAAAAAGAAGCCACGAAACACAGAATGGAACATTTTCCTATTATAATCCTTTTGTTTAGAGGCTAGCAATCTTTTTACCTAGTTTTCAAGAAAATAAACCTATCCACTCAATTTGTTGTGAAGACATTTACCTACGTGCAAGTAGAAAATAAATTGACATGGCATCAACAATGTTACCATCTGTAGATATGAGCATTCATTCTCCACCCAATATCGAAAGTATTAAATCTAGGCAGTAAAACAAAAACTGCCCGCCAATGTCATTCCTCGAGAAGAATGAGATGGCCGTGTGGTCTGCACTGTGCAAGTGTTTATGTGAAAGGCTATCAATCCACTTTACCAGCAAACAATCCTGAGAAAGCAAGGAAGTAAATTGTTTAGATTCATTTATCTGTGAGGTCCCTAGTAGAAGAAACCTAATAGCTTTCTTATCTTACCCTTTAATGCCATTAAACACATCAGATTTTATTGTATTTGGTTTTGTTATAAAACACTTTGATTTATTGACTTCTTCATTTTGTGTTTTGAAAACGCTCTCTGTCCGTGGAATAGAGTGAAATTCCAGATGGAAATGCAGTCCTAATATTTAAAACACCACAAATAAATAAATCACCAGAAACATTTATCCCAGTCCCAATATATTTTTTAAAAAAACAGTTTCAAGAAACTTTTAATTTTAACTTAAACTATTCAAATCAGTAAATAAAAGTCTGACTTCTCATTTTTAAGCAATAAAAGTAATTTTCACATAGTAGCCATAATGATATAAAATAATATTTTGTCATTAAGATTCATAGCTTGTAAATTTTCTCAAGCAAGAAAATGAAAAAAAGAAAAAAAGGAAAGCCTAAGCTTTTACAGGTCAATGCCAGGGATTTAATGTTTGGAACTAGATAGAACATGTGACTCTTACCAGTATGAAGTTGTCATGTCTTATTCTATCTTGATCTCATGTGAATGGTTCTTTAACAAAGATCAACCTTAAGCAGCCTTCATTACAATCCAGTTAAGACTCCCATGACACACATGTAAACAAGGACACACTCATTCGCTCAACCGTTTTCATTACTCCCCTTCTGGGCACACCAGCGTATGCCTGGTATTAAGCTGAAGTCTGAGAGGTAAGTATGAAAATGCACTACTCTTGTGCAACAAGAAACGTGATATGAGCAATGCTGGAGTTTGCAGGATGGAGAACAGCAAAGTAGACAGATACAGAGGAACACACTTCTGCCTAGTTCAGACTGTGACACCAGCCAGTTCCCTACAGTGCCTGTCTCTTATCCTCTGCCTGAATAGAAGTTCTTCAAGTAGAAAGAACAGCAAGTAAAAATAAAATTCTCCCAAAGAAGAGAGAAGAGAATGTGTAGAAGTCTAATAAAAAAAACTGGCGCATTTGAAATTATGAAGAAATTTCTCAGGACTGGGGCATGAAGGATTGCACGTACTTCGTAAGCAAGCCCCATGTATGTTTAAATACCAGCTCGGTCAAATAAATGTTGACCGAGTGACATGAGATCCTTAAATGAGAGTTTGAAACATGACAATGATGTGACCTAAGAGAAAATGCTAATGCCTATGGGACTAGGGAGATGGCTCAGTAGCTTAAGTGTGCCCTGCACAGGCCTGAGGGCCTAAATTTGGATCCCCGGCACCCACATAAAAAGCCAGTGAATTGGTTCAAGGCTGTAATCCCCAAAACAAGAGCTCTGGGGTTTGTTGGCTCCAGATTCAGTGAGAGACCTTGCCAAATAATAATAATAATAATAATAATAATAATAATAATAATGATGATGATAATGATGAGTGATTTAAAAAGACACCTAGTGTCAACATTTGACCTCCACACATCCAAACACAAGCACCCACACGCACATGTGTGCACACACAAACATGCTAATGCACATAGTCCAAACAAATTCAATACGGGCAGTGAAGTAACAAGGGAGATTTATGATAAATTAATGTAGGTCATTACTGCTTATCCATGTTAACACAAATTTTTGTTCCTGGCTGTAATAGCTGTGGAGACTGATTCTGGAATCTGTCTTACAGGGATTTAAATTCCAGCAGGGCCCTTGATCTCTCTGATCCTCAGATTTTGATTAGATTGTAAAAAGTCAACATAGTGGTCCCTGCATCAGAGTGGTTGTTGGTTTTGTGAGATAAGGCACATAAGGCAGAGTACAGGGCTTCCAAGACTAAGTAATATCATCGTGTATACATGTTTGTTACTGTTTTGGCTTCCTTATTCATAGCATGAGTGGACGTCTTTTTTTCCCTTTTTAAATCAATTTTTAAATTATAAAAATATGAGCAGTTCTTAAAAATAAGGGAGGAGAAAGTAATCCAAACAACCATAGCCACACCTAACAATGAGATACTGTTCTGGGGCATTTCCTTATAGTATACTCCTACTGCTATTAGATAAATATATGGTAATTTTCTATGTATTAACTTTTAAAACCATAACTAAAACATTGTGCACAGAACTTTGTAATCATTGTTCTTTATCATCATTACATTAGAAGCATCATCTATATTGTATGACATCACAGCTGTAATTCCTGCAGTTACACAAGTATCCATCCAACAGGCACATCACAGTTCTCTAAACCTCATCTATTTGTATTGTTTGTAGCTTGTCATAGAGAGGTGTCAGAGGAGGGGATCAAGGCTAGATGGAGAGAGAGGACCAAAACCATGGAGTAAACCGGATCTTCTTGGCACTGCCGCCTCATTGCAGACTTCCCTCTTGGCTCCCAGACTCCCAGAGCAGGAGATAAAAGGATATCATGGTGGCCAGGCATGGTGGTGTACACCTTTAATCCCAGTACTCGGGAGGCAGAGGCAGTGGCTCTCTGCAGGACGGAGGCCAGCCTAGTGGTCTACCTAGTGAGTTCCTGGCCAGCCAGAGGCTGACCCATGGAGACCCTGACTCCCAAACACAAAAACAAAATAAACACACAAAAAAGGATGTTATGGTGATTCAGAATAGGGAGTGGAGGGGTCACTTAAGAACGGTTTTCACACTGTGCATCAGGTTCCTTCTGTGAAGTAACTTTGCCCGTGTTGTCCTTGGTTTTAGTATTCTCTGGGCCTGCGGTTTGCTGTTCCACGGCTTGAGAAAACCAACACGAGCATTAACTTCGATCTCCAAATCAGAAGGTCAGACTTTCAAATGCCTATTTTATTGACAGCACTTGTAAATAAAGAGATTCATGGTAAAATATACACCTTGCTATATAAAAATTTCTTCTGAAATTGGAATCTGGACTCTCACAGCCCGGCTCATGCCTCCCGGTCGCCTCCGCTTTTCCCGTATTCTGCATTGTGAAAACGATGGTAGCCAAGATGGAAGGCGGATTTGGTCTTGGACGCCCTCCCCGCTTTGTTCCCCTCCACTTCCCCTCAGTCCAGGCACAGGATGACTGTACTGGAGTAATAATAAACACGCTCCACCATCTCAATGCCCTCGGCTGGCAGTCAGCCACTCTTTGGAAGGAAAATCTGAAAAATGAAATCTTGCAAGTGAAATCTTGAAGTCTCCTAAGTAATTCAAGAACAAGAGAGTCTCTTGATGGCTTATTCGGCAGCTCTGTGGCAGGATGCAGGTGATATAATACTGTATTTGAAAGCCAGGGCCTTCATTAGCAACAGTAAACTGAGCCCTGCAGGTAGCTGCCTCCCTTTCCTATGGATGACCCTGTTCAAGGATTTGGCTGTGACAGCACCCTCTCCTTGTCTACTCCATTTGCTCCTTTGTGGTCAGAAACCTTGCATGAGTGGGAAGACCCACAGTGAAGAGAGGCATGCAGGCCGGGGTCTCCCAACTGTGAACTTCAACCCATTTTAATGGAATTAAATGGAATGTAACGAATGTCGTGTAACATAATTAATATATAATATAGTACAATAGTCTTGAATATGAAACATTCCTCTTTGAGAAATATGACTGTGCACAGTCAAGATGGTCTGTAAAATACATATCTTTTGTAGCTGACCATTTTAAAAACATAAAAAACCCTGCTATAGACAGCACATACTTCCATGGCTATTTATATCTTGTTCATCATGTTAAACTCATCCTTTAACTATACAAATGACTGCAGAGTTAGTATTTACAACGTGGTTCTCAAACAGTAATGTTAATGTGGTCAATCTCTAAGTTTATCTTAATATCTTGTGAGATGAAGGGCTATTAGAGTGTGATAGGTTTTTTTTAAACCCTAAGTCTGTAAACCAGATTACTTTTTAAATTGCTACATTAATAAAAGGTGTAGGATAAGAATGTAGCAGATTTTAAAAATACACAGCATGTGTCAGAATTCCTCTCCTGGTCCTACCCAAAGCTCTGGGACAGTTTTCTAGGGAGAGTTTAACTTAGCTTCGATATCCTTCTCTCCTCCTAGTTAGAGCTTTCTTGAAGTGTTTTTTTTAGCTTAAGTATTTTCTGGTAAATCTTAAACCTTTTGAAATTCTACCCAGCTTAGCAATGGGGTGCAGATGGAATGCATTCTCCTCTAATAGTTCCTCATTTTATCCAAAGATTTTTAAACCAATTTTTTAAAATATTTTATTTATTTATTTTTATTTTATGTGGATGACTGTATTGCCTGCATGTAGGTAAGTGCACCCGTGTCGTGCAGTGCCGGTGGAGGACAGAACAGGCTCTTGGATCTCCTGGAAGTAGAGTTACAGACAGTTGTTAGCTGCCATGTGGGTTCTGGGATTCGAATCTCAGTCTTCTGTAAGAACAATCAGTGTTCTTATCCGCTGAGCCATCGCTCCAGCCCCAAACCAATTCTTAATATTTAACAAAATATATATTTCCTAAAAGATTCACAAGGAATTGGGGAATTATTTTTTAATTTTTTAAAATCTTAAATGTGGGGGCTGGAGAGATGGCTCAGCTCAATGATTAAGAACACTGGCTGCTCTTGCAGAGGACCTGGGTTCATTTTCTAGCACCAACATGGCAGCCAACAACCATCCCTAACTCCACTTCCAGGGTATCCACCTCCCTCTTCTGGCCTCCATAAGCATTACATGATATGATGCACTTAATATGCAAGCAAAACCCTCACAAAAAATATAAATAAATAAGAAACCTTAAGTGTATCTATCACCACGTTTAAAGTAAGGAAATATCAAAGTAAAGGCTCTCACCACCTTAGACTATAGCCTGAAACTTCACCCTTCACTGTCTGTGTCATTGGCCTTTCACAGGCGTAAATCTTTGAGTCTCTTGAAGAAAGATGTTTCTCCCATAAAAATGCACGGCTTCTGTCTAAGCAGAATGTCTGATACAAAGATTGCAAGCAGATTTCTTGCTCTTTCCTTCTTTTATTGGTTGTAGTAAAGAATAAGAGAAACAGATTGTTGTTTATGAACTGACAAAAGAAGCTAGAAAATGCTCTAACTAGGCATCCCCAAATCTACCCTGGAGACCATCATTTAAGCAATGAATTTATTAATGAAGGACTGAAAACAGGAATGACCACATGGCTTATATCCACCTTCCTCTAAAATAGGTCATAATCATATTCCATTTCTTCTCAAGATGAGTTTTGACATTATTTTGAAAAATAGCAAAATGCAGGAAGAACTGGGATATGCACAAAGCATCAAATCCCCCAAACACACCAGGAAGAAAAGAGTTTGAAGACACTTTAATAACTCAAGTATTAAGGTATTTAGAAGGTATTTATCTGTATGCTTTGCTGGCTAGCTCCAAAAATGTAAACAGTTCAGAGGTTAGCAAGATGGCTTGGAGGTTAAGAACACTGGCTGCTCTTGCAGAAGACTCAGGTTCAGTTCTTAGCACCTACATGGTGGATAACAACCACCCGTAACTCCAGTTCCAGTGGATTTGATGCCTTCTTCTGGGCTCTGTGGGCATTGCATACACATGGCACACTTTCATGCATGCAGGCAAAACACTTATACACATAAAATAAAAATAAATATATCAAAACCATTTAAAAACAGAATTCGCATAGGTGACTTTGCATTCAATTTAAATGTATTAAAAACAAAAACAAATTTAACCAAACACTCTGCAGACTATATTCTTATATGTATCGCCAAGGCCCACACTGAATGCCCTTTCCTACAAATAAAAGAGAAATTGACTTCATGCATTAATATGTTTAAAATATTTCCTGTTAACAAATAATGGTCTCCCCAGGCCTTTGCTCTGCCTGATGGATGCACTCTCCTTCCTACAGAGCAGGCCTCAGATTGCAGGTCCCACACACAGACGGTCTTTGTGAGCATCTTTAAAGTTGCTTTCTCAGCAACAGTGAAATGAACATTATAGTGTCTTTACTGGCTTTCCACAGAAAAGACAGAAAAAATGCTAGGAAATAGAAAACAGGAAAATGGTATTGGACTACTAAAGTGAAAAATGCATTTATCCTTCCTGCACGACATGGGATGCGGGAAATTCATCATTCTTTATACAGAATTAAATTGGAGGAATGGTGTAAATAGCCCAGGATCCCTGCTGATGATGAATTGTTTGTTTGTATGCAGCCATGGTATTAATGGGGGAGATCTCCTTCCAGGAAAGATGTCAAGGAAGCATCTAAGTCATATATCAAACCTGGTTCCTTCCTTACCAGGAGGCTTTGTCAACACTGTCAGTGTACAGTAGAGAGTGTCCCACCATTGGCATGCTGTGAAGGCACCATTCTGACCAAGCAACTGGGGGGCCTTCACTGAGTCAGGCATTGCACTTGCTGAATTTCAAAACACCTTCCTGAGAGACACCAGGCCTGAGAGATGGTTCGGTAGTAGCACTTGATACCAAGACCGATGACCTGAATTCAATTCCCCAAGACCTACATGGTGGAAGGAGAAAACCAGCTCCCACAAGTTGTCCTCAGACCTCCATACATACACTGTCTCACACACACACACACACACACACACACACACATACACACTCACTCACACACGCACACACACACACACACAAATATAATAAAAGAATCAAAACATCTTCTTACAGCCTCAAATTAGACTCAAGTTCAAAGATAATTTCAGTGTTTAACATCACTTAAATTTTTAGGGTGCTGTGTGAACTAAAAATTGTTTTATCTGAACTACTTGCAAACAACATAAAACAAAATGAAATATCTTCAACAGAGCTTTTTCATAATTCCAAATTCCAGTGCTACAAAGGGGTAGGGAGCTGGAAAGGAGACAAAATGTCAATCAGTACAGCAATCATATTTACGCTTCTAAACTAAAGAATTGTTCATTTTGTATACTTTATAGACACTAATAAGAATTGATTTTTTTATAAAAAAGAATTCACGAGAACAACTACAGTGACACATATGTATGAAAGTGCCGTGATGAAACTCGTTATTTTACATGCTAGGAACCACAAAACGAATTACTCATATCAAATTTGGGAAGAAAGTCTGCAGCGAGTATAATTAATGATTTCTCAGTGGTCATTTTTTTTAATGTTTCCTTAGATAATAAAAGAATTTTTCCCAGATGTCATAATAGTAAAATGATATGGCCTGGAAACTGGGGTTCAGACTTTGGTGAGGAAGTCCTTGTAAGCTCCATTACCAGTTTAGTCGGGGGCAGTCCACCTCCAGAGATAAGCCAGACATCCGCCAATTAACATCTTTTAGTGTGCTTGCAGTTGAAGTTGCCTTATCCGTATATATAGTCAAGGCTTTTCAAAAGCTTCAAAAGCACCGTGGGAACAATGCTGTGCCCCCCTGCTTGGAAAGCACTGTTTTATGGCCTCCTTTCCAGAGCCCACACTGGTATGAAACTGCCCCTTTACCATCTCCACAGTGAGAGCTTATCCACTGGACCCGAGCAAGACAGTAACCTCAGAGCAGATTTTCTCTTCTTACAAGCGTGAGCATGGCCATTACTGAGTTTATTGAAATCGGCCTTTGGATGACTCTGATGAAGCATAGAGGGTGCTGAATGTGGGTGGCAGCATCATCCAAGGCCCACGTACTGCTTGAGCCTCTTGGGGTTACATTTTATTTTCCTTATACTCTCGACTATTCGGCATGCACATTTTTTTAAAAAGTGGAGTTTTGTGTCTCATTATAGTTACATGAGGGGAAAACATAGCAAACTTTAAATTTTGTTCTATTTTCAAAGAGATAATATTAAACCCACACCATCTACCTTAAGATTCTCGATGTATCTCATAAGCATCTATGTCACCTGAATTCCCTGCTTATGAAATGCCCAGCTTTCTCATGTCTTGCCTCTTCTTACTTTAGCAGGGCTTCGAGTCCTCTCCTTGTTCCTTGCCCCAGACAGCCCATGAGTGCAACAACTATACACACTTACATTAATATTAATGTAAGAAATAAACCCTAGTTGGGCATGGTGGCACACACCTTTAATCCTAGCACTCAGAAGGCCAAGGCACAAGGCCAGCCTGGTCTACATAGGAAGTTCCTGGCCAGCTGGGGCTACAGGAAACCCTGTCTCAAAACAAAAACAAAACAAAACAAAAATGAGAAAGAAAAAGAAACAAACCCCAAGGAAGATAAAAATTGCTGCCAAAACAATGTATGGTATGACACAGTGCAGAGCTAAAAGCAGATGCTGTCTCAGTTATGTGCTCTTCTGGCTTGTTCATGCCAGGTCTCCTGTTTATTAGCATGGAAAATCAGGAGTTGACTGTGCTGTCATTTCCCATTTGAAGGGCACTAAACACGATGCTCAAAGAAATGAAAGAATTTGTCTGAGGTAGAAGCTGGAAAACAAACTCGGTTCAATGTCCTTTGGGTTTATCCATTGAAACTAAAACATGTTAGCATCTCTCCATCTCTGTTGTAGTTCCGAAGGGAAAGTTGATTTGTTTCTACAGACTCTAAAAGCTCTTAGCATTTCCCTGTACAAATAGTGAAGATGTTGTAAAATAAATGTACAGTTGTTTTCCAACTGATAAAGTTGGCAGTGTGCATTGCTCTTGTGATATGCAGGATGTTTTTCATGATCATGAGACAGTATACTGAAGTCATGTTTTCATTGTGTTTTAGTTCCAACAAGGACAATCCAGACAGCAATTTTGTGAGTCTGCAGATCAACATCACTGCTGTAGCCCAAGTAGAAATAAGAGGGTGAGTAGTACGTCATTGGGGGTCTAGCTTCCTGGATGGAAAGAGTTAGGATGAAACACTAAACAAAACTATACATGTTATTCCTAATTAATTAGAAATCACAATTCAGTTTGGTTATTGATTTTCATTCTTCTCTACTCATCATTAGCCTTCTATCAGCAAGCAAAATAAACCTGTGCAATAATTAAATCTAAGATATCAAAACAAGAGGTTACTTAATTACCCAAACTGATAGTTCAGTAACCAAGCTAGTAATATCAGTTGCTAAGAAACTAAGATAGATAACTGTGATTGCCCAAAAGAAAACCAATCTCACTTTTACTCTAATTATTTTAACAGAATGGCCATTTAATTTCATCCTACCTCATTTTGAATTTAATAAACAGCTAACATGGATATGAGGGTCAGTGGTTCTACATTCTGAATCCTTGTTCCTCTGTCTCTTCTGTTCTTTGAGGAAGGTCTCAGTAACAAATCACTAGAGGGACAGGAGAAAGGTGATCAATGAAAGCCTTGGAAGGACTACCAGTTGAAAAATCCTTGCCTAAGGGGAAAGGAAATCAGAAACGGACAGCCTAAATTCTTGTCTTATACAAATATGCATTTCATTGATTTTATTCTTATTATTCTGCTTTCTTCTGACTTCACTAAATCAATGACTTAACTAAAAAAAAATGTTAACTGATATTTTCAACCAAATTACCCCTGGGCCCCAGAATCCTGCTTGCCTTCCTTTTCCACAGGTCCTGGCTGGATCACCCTCCTCCAGGATGATAGCAGTGGATCTCTGAATACAGAGCCACTATCCCCATGGGCCCACCATTGATGCTTTTCCTGGAACCCTGCCCTGCTGTCTGGGAACACCGAGCCTCCCCCTAGTGGACTGGAAGTTAATAAGAATGTCTGACATTTATTGAGGTGCTCTATGTGTTATCCCATTTTACTGTATGTTGATATCCTCAGTGTAGAGACCAGGGGATTGTGGCCCAAAGACTTGAAGGGCTGGAAAACACAGAGCTAAAATGTAAATACAGGTGACCTGTCTCCAGAACTCAAACCCAGAACTGGTCATGTTATCCCACCTATAAGACAGAGTCTTTTGAACCTTATCTACATAAGACTTTATTTATATATGCTTCTGTGGTTTTCTAATCACATGAATGCTTTCCAGATTTGCCCATTTTAAACACATGTGTTTATAGTCCAATCATTTTAATTACACAGCAGTACTATGTTATAAACTTATGCTGTAATCCATCCGTTCTACTCAATGAATATTTGAAGCATTTTCTCTTTTTCATTTTGATAACTTTTTTCATACACATTTTCTGGTGCACATGTGAAAGAATGTGTAGCGAGGAACACATTAAGAACACATTAAGAAGGGGATTTCAAGGTCAGAGAACACATGCATTTAACTCTACTAAATAATACCAAATCCTACTCCCACAAAAACTGGGTGAAAGTCTCCACTGACCCACATTACCAACTAACTCTCAGGATGGTCCAGTTTTAATTCTAAGCATTTTGACAGATAAATAGCATATAACTGAAGATTTAACTTATAGTTCCTTAATTTTAAGTGAATTTGAGATAGTTTTTATATGATTATCAATAGTTGTTTTTCCTATTTGTGAAAATTTGTGTTAATTTTTGCACACATGTCTACTAAAAGATTGGTTTTTTTTCCTACTAGTACATAGGAATTCATTTAAATATTTTTTTTAAAACATTATTTATTTTAGGTGTGTGTGTGTGTGTGTGTGTGTGTGTGTGTGTGTGTGTACGCATGTACATATTTTGAGGTCAGAAGGCAATTTGTAAGGATCAGTTCTCTCTTTCCACCATGTGGGACCCAGGGATCAAACTTGGATCACCAAGTTTGTTTTAAAAGTCAGATTTGAGATATAAATTGCATGAAGTAAAATCCACAGCTCTAGGAGTCCAGTTTGAAGAGTTGGGATACCACAAGAACATTCAAGATACTGATTCCTTTGGGCTCCCTTGTAGTCAGCCCTTCTCCCTTTCCCAGGGACTGGCATCCTTGGTCTATCTTCTGTCACCGTATTTTTGCCTTTTTCCAGAATGTCATATAGTGAGCTCCTTCAGAATAAGTCTGACTTTTCCAATTAGTGTAACAAATTTGAGAAATAGCTATGTGCCTGCATACATCAGAAGCCTGTTCCCTTTTACCGCTGAAAAGTATCCCATTGTATGGACACCCAGTGAATGATTCATTCACCATTTGGTGACCATGTAGGTTGTCTCCCGTTTGGACCAGTTAAGAATAAAGATGTGCTGGCATTTTGTTTTGGAGGACATTTGTTTTCACAAATGCACCTTATGGAACTACTGAATTGTGTGAGAAGTGAATGTTTCTAAGAGATTGCCCAGCTGTTTTGCAGAAAGGCGGTACCACACCCACTGTGGATTCCCACTAGGACTGCAGGAGGTCCCAATCACCCCCATCCTTGGCAGCACATGCTTTATGTGTTTTTAAATAACTACTCATTCTATTATAGCAAGTATGTTTTAACTTCCATTTCCTTAATGAGTAGTTATACAGTGCACCTTTTCCACGCTTACCTGTCACCGATATCTCTTTTGCGGTGACGTATCTCTTTCCACCTTTTATCTATTCATTCAGTCTGTCTTATGACTGAGTTGCAAAAATAGAAAAATCCCTTATCAGCTACCTGGCCCTGAAAGATTTTCTCCCAGTCTGTGGTATGTGACTCTGTATTTTCTTAGCAATGTTGTTCAAGGAATGAAAGTCTAATATTTTGATGAGATTAAACAGATTTTTTTTAATGGTTTGAGCTCTTTGTATCCTACCTGCATAATACTTACCTCTCCAAAGTCATAAAACATTCTCTCCTTTGTTTTATATTTGAAGTTTTATAGTTTTAGGTTTTATGTTTAGGCCTACAATTACTTTGAAGTTTGAAGTCTATTTTTGTGTCTTACGTGAGGTAAGAGCTGAGGTACATTTTGGCTCAGGAACATCCATTTCTTCCTGTGCTGTTTGTTGAAAAGCCCATTGTTATGCCCTGTAAATTACTTTGGCACCTTGTTGCAGATAATTTCCTCAAGTGGGAGGATCTAGTTCTGGGTTTCTGACTCATGCACAGTAAGTTTTGAGGTAGAGGAATATATTCTCGTATTTTGGAAAGCTTATAATTTTAGTGACTTTTCTGTTGATTTCTTGGGATTTTTCACACACTTATGTTGCCCGTAAATTAAGAGTTTTCCCTCTTTCCAATCTGCATGTGGGGAAGTTTGTCCATCTACAAAGCTAAGGGTCCCACAAAAGACCACTGCCCTAGTTCATTTTTATTATCAACTTGATACAATTTAGGATCTCCTGGGAAGAGGGAACCTCTCTGAAGAATTTCCTCTACCAAATTGATCTGTGGCCATGTCTGTGAGAGACTGATTGATGGTTGATGTAGGAGGGTCCAGCCCACTGTGGGCAGCACCATTCCTTGGCAGGTGGGAATGGACTGTGTACAAAAGCCAGCTGAAAGCGAGCCAGTGAGCAAGCCAGTAGGCAGTATTTCTCCATAGTGTCTGCTTGAGCTCCTGCCCTGATGACCCTTGATAATGACTGATACCTGGAAGTGTAAGATGAGATAACCTCTTTCCTCTCTAAGTTGTTTTTGGTCAGAATGTTTTATCGCAACAGTAGGGAGCAAATTAGGACAACCACCATCATTTCTAATAGCAGCTGCTTCCAGATCTCATTGAAAGTTGTCATACTTACAGTGAGAGTTTATTTCAGGGGAAAAATCAGATTAAGATCATCCAAAGAGAGAAGCATGTAAGGAGGAAACTGGACAAGTGCCACACACAGGTTTCACATTGTCCTCGTCTGTCCTTTCTCTTACTTCTCGGTACTGAGTCAACGTCTCATTAGAGCCTGGCTAAAACAAACAAAATGAAAAGAAGACATTTAAAAAATATCTCCAAGGCTATTGAGGAGAGAACTGACTCATCTTAAGAATCCTATCACATCCATATTAAGCTATGCAAATCTTGTGAGCTGTACTTCTCCGTAGTTCTACCTGTCATCAGGAAAGGTCCAGCAATGTTGGCTTCTGACCATTTAGCAGGAAAACTAGAACTCCAGCATGATGTTTTCCTTTCCCTGGCAGTCTGCTCTTAAACTTGCAGTCTATGAGTGTAAGGACTATATCAATAAAGCAAAATCTAGGACACACACTCTAAGCAACACTAAGCATTTTCTCAGGACAATGAATCACACAAAAGGGGAAAAAAAAGTCCAGGATATCTGGTTGTTGACTATAGTCTTCTCAACAACTTCCAATGGATGGCCCAACAGCTCTTCTTCCAGAGTTCTATGGTCACCCCATCTACTGCTGATTCCCTATGCAAAGATAGAAAGAACTCAGCCCCCAAAACTTCACATGTAGAAATAATAACAACAGAGAAAATTTTATATTTATACAACAAAGTTCATTTTCAAACCACTGAGTAACTGGAATAGGTTTCAGAACTACCTGCTATCACTGGGGTGGAAGGACCAGCTTCCAAGTGCACTGGCACTTTTTTTTTTTTTAATGTGTATGTGTGTTCCTCCTTGTCTGTATATGCACTGCATGTGTGCAATGCCTGTGGAGGCCAGAAGAGGGCACCGGATCTCCTGGAGCTGGAGTTACAGGCAGTTAAGCGCTACCCAGTGTGGGTTTTAGGAACTGAATCCAGGTCCTCTAGGAGAGTAGCAAGTGCTGTCAATCGCTGAGACAGCTCTCCAGCCTCAGCCCCGGCACCTGCTCTTTTTATGCCTGTGGGATTTATCTAGACTTCTATGACTCCACCCTTCAGCAGGCGGGCTACACCTGCTACAATGTGTGCTGAACTTTGCTCTCCTGCTCTCCATGTCCCCAACCTCATCCTCCCTTGCCCTCCTCCTGCTTGAGGGCTTGTGTTAATACTTAGGTTTCTCCCACTCTGCTGCACCTGGGAAGGAAGTCCTGACT